CTCTTTAATCAGAAAGAATTGAATATGAGGCAACGACGCTGGCTAGAGTTACTCAAGGACTACGACTGTGAGATACTTTACCACCTTGGTAATGCAAATGTTGTCGCTGATGCTCTCAGTCGGAAAGTCAATCTTGAAAGGAAAAGGCCAAGAGCGTTGAGAATAGAAGTTGTCTCGACCATTGTGGAGAGTATAAAGAAAGCTCAAGAGGAAGCTTCTGAAAGAATGACCGAAAGGAGGAACGCTTGGGCAAAACGTTGGTGTTTGGTACAAACGGTCATGGACTGAAGGTATTCCAAGGTCGTATTTGGGTACCTAAGTCAGGAGGAATAAGAGATCTTCTGATGGAAGAAGCTCACAAAACCATGTACTCGATTCATCCCGGCAGCACTAAAATATATAGGGACCTAAAACCCTATTACTGGTGGACGACGATGAAGCTCGACATTGCGAAGTATGTGGCGGAGTGTGTGTGCCCTGTGCGAGGGTCAAGGCACAACATCAGAAACCATACGGGAGTCTAGAACCTTTACCTGTGCCTATGGGTAAATGGGAAGACATTGCTATGGATTTTGTCACTAAACTGCCCAGAACAAAGAATGGTCACGACATGATTTGGGTGGTCGTTGATCGCTTCACTAAAAGTGCGCATTTCATAGCAGCCAATGAGAAATGTTCTATGGATAAGCTTGCGAATTCTTACGTTAAGGAAATTGTGAGGCTTCACGGTGTTCCGTTAACGATTGTATCGGATCGTGACAGCCGTTTCACCTCAAGATTTTGGAAAAGTCTACAAGAGGAATTGGGTACCAAGTTGTGTTTGAGTACAACTTACCATCCACAGACTGATGGTCAGAGCGAGCGAACGATACAAACACTTGAAGATATGCTGAGAGCATGTACCCTGGAATTCCAAGGCAACTGGGATGAACATTTGCCTTTGGTAGAATTTTCCTACAATAATAGTTTCCACTCGAGCATAAAGATGGCACCTTATCAAGCTTTGTACGGACAGAAGTGTCGTACGCCGTCTTGTTGGCTTGAGGTTGGAGAAAAGCAGTTTATGGGACCGGAGATAGTCCATCAGACTGCTGAAAAGTTGAAAATAATCAGGGAGAGAATGTTAGCAGCTCAAGATCGTCAAAAGAGATGTGCTGACAAAAAGCGAAGACCGATGACTTTTGAAGTTGGAGATTCAGTTTTACTTAAAGTCTCGCCATGGAAGGGACTTATAAGGTTTGGCAAAAGGGGAAAGTTAAGTCCAAGGTTTATTGGACCGTTTAAGGTTCTTTAGAGGATTGGGAATCTAGCTTACAAGCTCGAATTGCCCGAAGAACTGAATGGAATTCATAACACTTACCATGTGTGTTATTTGAGGAAGTTCACGGGAGAAGTTCCCGATATAATTCCAATATATGAGTTAAGAATTGATGAGAACAAAAGGTTAGTTGAAGAACCAGAGGCAATCCTTGACCGAAAGACTAAGAAGTTGCGACGCAAGATGGTCGAATTAGTGCTTGTCCGATGGAAACATACGAATGGGCCAAATCTCACCTGCGAGACGGAGAGTGACATGATGAGTCGCTATCCGCATTTGTTTGTTGATGTGTGATTCCGGGGACGGAATCATTCTAAGGTGGGGAGAATTGTAACGCCCGTGTTTCTGGGTTAGGCATTAATGCTGTTATAATAGTCTAGGTTAACCCTTGTAACTCATTTTGAAATAATAAGAATGTGTTATTTGAGTATTATGTGTTTTATGCTAAATTATGTGGCTTAATTGAATTAAGAATAAAAAAAATAAGCGTCAAAATGAAATGTTAGATAAGCCCGATATCTCTACATGAAGTTGTAGTGGTCGTGGCAAGGTTTCCGAAAATATAAAGAATGCTGAAATCCGAGTTATAACGAAGAAGTTATGACCTGTCGAAGTTTCGCGACGGAACCGACACGACGCTGAAGGATGTAAAATATGAATTTAAGATAGAGCGATATTTAGCCTTAGTTATCAAAACGAAAGTTGTAGAATGCGTTAAACCGAGAGCGTGCATAAAAAGAACGTCTAAATATGACTTCGTATGAGGAAGTTATAATTTTTCTAAGTTTCGACTAAGCGGTATGTAGCCCGAAATCTCGAAATCGAGATCGAGTGATAATTGGCCGAAACAATCTAAACGAGAATCGAAGATCTCGTCGTTAGTAGCCCATCGGTAAAAAGACAGACGAAAACGGACGTCGGGTGAAGAAGTTATGATTTTATAACGAAGTTTTCCTGTCCCGGCCTACTAAAAATAATATAATAAAAATAAAGTCAAAATTAGCCGACGAAGTCTAAATGAAAGTTGTAGAGCATAGTCTCACCTACGCATGGATATAAAGAACGTCAAAAACGGAGCTCGTATGCGAAAGTATGAATTTTTGAAGATCGTGGCACGCATACCAAAGCTTATCCGAAGAGAGCCTGGGGATACGAGGTACGCCCAGCGTACAAGGAGGTACGCCCCGCGTACATGTCGACACCGAAGTACGCCCTGCGTACGAGATGGGTACGCGCAACGTACTGCTGCTTTGCTCGGTCCAGAAGAGGCCACGTCGCCCCACCCGAAGTTCGCCACCTGGAAGCCTGATCCGAACTACGCCCCTCGTAGAGCTTCGTACGCCCAACGTACGTGTGAGGTTCAGCCCCTATAAAAGGGCATGCGAGCCTGCCGATCTTTTTTGCTCAAAATCTTTCTTTCTCTCCCATAATTTCTCGTTTTGCGTGCAAGAAATACCCCCGAAGCCCTGGTATTATTCCCGAGACCCGAAGCAAGTCCCGAAGCCCCGAAAATCCCGAGAAGTGAAGTTTCCGAGCCGAAACTCTGCCCGCAAGAAGCCCGGTTTTCAAGAAAAACACCCCGGTTTTATCGGAAAATATTATTTTAATAGACGAGGTGCTGTCCGATCATCGTCTTATCAAGTGAGTGTATATTCCTTTTCTTCTAACACATAGATACGAAGTATTCTCTACAAAATACGTGTTATGTGTTTGTATATTATTTGCTTATTTGAATTATTTGATTGAATGAATGATTTGTACGGGTTTTAAGCTGTATATAAATGTATATATTCTTATCTACTAATATGTTGGGTAGAACATGGGTAGACAGTGGTTGTGTGATGAAATAAAATGATGAGAGACCTCGATGTGATTGTGATCTAGTCATTCAGCAGAATATAGATGACGACCACAGACTTTTCTAGACAGTTCTGTGGAATGCTGGCAGGCTCATAACCTGTAAGTGTTGGTGAACTTGGGTGTTCATTTGCTGTATTCTATCCCCCTCATGGTTGCCTTAGGACATTCATTGCTGAGGAAACCCCTCTGCAGTAGTGTCCGTCCCGATGAAAATCCTAGATTAGGTCCCTTGTAATAGTTGTTGTCATAGGGACGTAAAGTGAGGATAACGGGAATGGGTAATGGGGTTATTGTTGGTTGGTGAAATTAAATATAATTATTTATTGTGGGATGAAAACCTTATATGCTCACCAGGCTCCCAAGCCTGACCCACTCAGTTTCTTTGTATTACAGGTAGTGGCGCGAGAGCATAAGTTGGAGAATTTATGAAGATGTTTTTGTTTATAGACCAATAGTTTTATAAACTGTGTAATGTCTATGTTTTATCGTTTATGCTTTTGTGTCTGTATCGGAACATGACATCCCGAGTTTTGATATATAATGAAAATACATTTCTTTAAGAAATGCTTTGATAAACCTTATTTTATCATGTATTGTTTTGGGGACAAATTCCGCAACTCTTTTAAATCAATGGATTTACTCTGAAATTATTTTAAAAGCATAAATGAAACCGTTTTTTTTTTTGCCGTGATTTTGGGGATGTCACACAACTTCCCAAAAAACGACTTTTCTCGTATCGTTTTCTTTTGTTGGGTTTTTGATGTCCCGCACCACAACATCGCTAATGCATTCTCTTCCTCCGGGTGTCCACCATGTTGGAGGTTTTTCTTCAATTGCTTCACCGCGACCTCTTTCCCTTTCCTTATTGCTCTCCCTTGGCCGTTTGTTTCCGACTGCCCCCGACTTGCGTATCGGGAACCGTTTGTTGTGTGGATGGTGGTTGTGTGGTTGTTTGTGGCATGGAAGAAAAGGTGTTGAAAAGAATTTGTGTAGGGAATTGTAGTGGGGGTGAGGCAAGATTGAAAAAGTTGTCGGAAAATGGTGAGATTTACGAGTTGAGGATGTTTGCGTTCGCCTCATATTGTGCAAAACCGAAAAGAGGGAATGTGTTTGTGTTTGGAGGAGGAATGTTTGGGTTTTGATCCATAGTGGGTTGAATTTGAATTGGTTGAGTTGTTTGTAAAAATTAAAATTGAGAGGAATATATATATATATATATATATATATATATATATATATATATATATATATGTGTGTGTGTGTGTGTGTAGGTAAAAATGAAATATGTATCTGTATTTATATAGAGTTAAAATGTAATTTTTTTATACTTTGTGACCGTTTTGGACGAAAATTGAAAGAAAACATGTTTGCTCCCGTTACCACCATCACGTTGGCTACCATAACGACCGATAACACACCTTGTGGGCGGTGTTCAAGGCGTTATGACGCCGTTATTATGGTGCCAACTCGGATTAACACGTATGAGTGTTACCCATACCAAGTGGTCTAACAGTAGGAAAAAACTAGAGGTCCATGACCCCCTAAGCCCCTATAGCCCTCCGCCACTCTTTCTAATAATGATTTAAACACGAAAATCATATAGTTTAGTCACAAATCTACACCTTACATTCTCAAAAAGGCCAGGTCTTTTTTATTTTTGGCTGAATAACAATTAAAATCATGGAAGGAAAGTTATTGAAGTTATTGAGTTTACATGTTTTTTTTCTAACACCCTTAAATTTCCCTATGCATTAAATCAAAGGTCGGCCGCCATTCAAACCCAACAGTACATCTTCTACGACTTTTTTCTTCTTCTATCCAAATGGCTATACTTCCTCGAATATTCCTCTACTTCTACTTCGCTTCAAAACTTGCATCACATCACATAGTCGTTACAAGATTTCAAAAGTTTGGTTGGTTGTGTGTTGGATAAATGGATTCAGTAGACCATATTAGTTAGGTGTATCAGTGTATTAAGCCCTTGAATTTTTTAACCCCACCATTGTTTTGTCAGAAATCAATAATAAGGATTTTGTCTTATTTGGTATTTCATTTGTACTTTATATCCACGAGGAAGATTATATTAATATTAGATTATTTTTTTTACAGCGAACTGTTTTGTTTTACATTTTGGGCGTTTCTTCCTCTTTGTCGGCTGTTCTTGTTGACCCATATTTTTTCTTTACCAATAGTTTGTCCAATTTTAGGTACATTCAATTGACAAATCGTCTTTAGAATCCAATTTCCTCTCAAGGGTCTGTATCTTTGGTGAAGATCGAAGGTCCATTTCGTTGGCTTTTTGTATTCAGTGTTTTTGGATTGCATATTCGATCAATCATTCATCTCCAGTGTTTTTTGGTTTGTCTGTAAGTTGTTTTCAATCAAGATCACTGTTTTGTTGTTGTTATTTCTCTTTCAGACAATTCATCGAACATCTGTCAGGCATTCTGCGGTAATAAACTTTCAACTTTCTTTCACTTGAATCGCTTATTGTCTTCTTCCAATTAGACTCCCAGTTCTATCTTATCATCTTTTCCAACTTGGGTTTTCTTCTTTACTTGAGATTTCGCTGATTCCGTGTTGAATACCTTTATATCGTTCAAGAAGATGAAAGGGAAATTTGGGGCATCAGCGAGTTATTTCCTGTTGAATACAGGAGCCAAGATTCCGGCCATAGGTCTCGGAACTTGGCAGAGTGGTGGCGACTTCTGTGTGGAGGCAGTAAAAACAGCTCTATCCGTCGGCTACCGCCACATCGATTGTGCACACCTGTATGGAAACGAGGCTGAAGTCGGGGAAGCCCTAACGGAGTTTTTCAGGGGTTCATTAAAAAGAGAGGATCTTTTTTTAACCTCGAAGCTATATTGTACCATGAATTCAACCAACAAGATTGAAAACTCTGTTAAAGTTTCTCTCAAGAATCTTGGTGTCTCATACTTGGATCTTTACTTAATGCATTGGCCTGAAAGCTCAGCTTTTGGTGATGCCACTGATCCTCCTGCAAATTCTGGTTCTGAATATAGGCAGTTCTTGAGTAAGTTGAAAACCGCATGGAAAACTATGGAAAAATTAGTCGAATTGGGTCTTGTTCGTGCTATAGGAGTTAGTAATTTCAATATACAACAAATGAAAGAACTTCTCAAATTCGCCAAGATTACACCTGCAGTCAATCAGGTTTGTTCTTTTATTCTGTCTTTCTTTCTTTCTTTCTTCTTTGATCTCAATCAATCCTTTTCGTTTCTTGATATTTATAATCATTTATTTGATAGGTGGAATTGCATCCATTTTGGAGGCAAGATGAGCTTGTGAAGTTTTGTCAATCAAAATTCATACATGTATCTGCTCACACACCATTAGGAGTCCCAACTTCAGCTCCTAAACCATCTGAAAGTGGATCAAGTGAGGAAGATGAACCTGGAACACCTCGTATATCTTTTAGAAGGTCAAGATCAGTCCATGGCCCAATGTTGAAGTTGTCAGTAGTTGCTGAGATAGCAGATAGACATAAAAAAACACCTGAACAGGTACTACTAAATTTCATTCTTTTCATTGTCCCTCATTTCATGTTTTACAATCTTTGTGTTTCTTATATCAAATTATTAATACATCTATCTACAAATGACAAGAGCTACAAATAACCTACATACTTCACAGTGCTATCAATTTATGTCACAGCTATACAACACATGATGAACATGTTAAATTACTATCACAATAGCCACAAATTAATTGTTTTTCTATTGTGTATCCTCAATTATTAAGCTATTTGTGCTCAAGTGATGCCTAGTGACACGTTTCATAAGATATTTAGTCTCATTAAGACAGTTTATTCAGTCTAGAAAAGAAACAAGAAACAGACCTTATGTATACATCACTACCCATTCAGCCACTTTTTTACAAGGCAATGTAATATTATAGTTACAAATATGGAGCAAGCATTGGTTAGGGGCAAAAACGTAATTATGTATTTGTGATTGGCATAGGTTATTCTGAGGTGGGGGCTTCAAAGAGGCACGAGTGTGCTACCATGTAGTGTGAAGCCTGAAAGAATAAGGCAAAACATTGACATATTCAGCTGGAGTTTATCAGATGATGAATACAAACGTCTGAATCGTATAGAGCCACAAGTATGTCTGTTTGGAAATGGTCCTTTAGACACTATTTCAGAAGACAATGGATCGATATTTGGAAGTGGTCCACTTCAAGCAGTTCATGAATCTGAAGATGATGTTGAGTTTAACTCATGATGGTTGTTGAAATACTTTGTGTTTCTTGCTTTTAACTGCATAAACATGTTTGATTTTTGTTGGGTCATTGTAATATTATGTCTTTGGGTCTTGTTTCTTTTGTTGATGTTGAATTGGTGAATTATGTCTTCTTTTGTCAATTGTCATGTATAAAAGTTGATGGATGGTGTTTTAATTTTATAATTTATGGAGTGTTTTTCAGAATTGATTATGTGATGTGAAATAAGGTAGAATTAGAGAATTAGATGTGGCAAAACAAATCACAGGAAATTGTGTTTGAATTTATGATTAAGTTTGGTTTTTTAAACAATTATTAAATGAAATACTCAGAAATAACTTTTTTTTATATGTTGTACAATTGTTTATATTGAGAAATGAAAAATTATTCTCTATCATAATAACAATAACTTTGCATATTATTTATCAATTTAGATTTTGCCCGCTGCGCGTTATCATTTATGGCGTCGACAATTCATTTTGTCAGTTGCATTTATTGGTAAACATATATACAAGGTTAGTACCATTACTAACTCCAATAAACTGTCGAATAAAAACGTTTTATATGTGATCAAATTCATGCATAACAAACGTATATAAAAATAAGTACGAAAACGTGAAGAAACTGCAATTTATACCGATACGTACATAAAAACAACTAAATAAGATTTATTGTTTTTAAGTTAATGAATTGAAGTTCAAATAATAAAAAACGTATTATATGTTACCCGACTTATACGTAGGAAACATAGATACAAATAAGCACGAAAACGTAAAGAATTACTTCGAAATGTAGATAAACTAGAATTTATACCGACACGTACATAAAAAAAATCAAGTTTTTTTAAAAAAAAAAAAAAAAACGGGCGAAAGTTATAAATTTACGTCGAAACGTTGACAACCTCGAATTTATGCCGACACATATATAAAAATAAGCACGTTAAATATTAGTTTTTTTTATGTTAACGAACGGAAATTATTAAAGAAAATCAGATTATGTATATTACAGGAGATAAACTGGAAAATTTACAAAATGAAGGAGTGAAAATGATATTTTATAAAGTTTCAAAATGTAGAGGGTCAAAATGTCATTTTAAAAAGTAGAGAGGTGAAAATTTTCATTTTACAAAGTAGGGATAATGACTTAAAAGGGTAATATATTTTTTGATTTGTACACATTTAGTCACTGATTTTTTTTCCGTCCATATTTACCCCTTTAACTTGTTAAACTGTACACATTTAGTCTTTATGACCGGCTACTCCAGGTTAACCGGTAAAAATAAAAATGACTTAATAGGGTAATATATTTTCCACTTTGTACACATTTAGTCCTTAATATTTTTTTTGTTGCAAAATAATACATTTTTATTTTTGTATTCATTCAGTACTTATGAATGATTTCTTTAGGTTTTCTCACAACATCTTACGTGGGATAGCCATATGGTGGCGGGATAGGTTGAGGTGGTCTTGCTATATGTTGTAGGCCAAGATACCTGGTGCGGGCCGGCTGTAAGCCGGAGGCACGGAGGCACGAGAAGAGCGGTTGGATTAAGGCGGCATGCCGACAAACCCTAGGTATTCCAGTCCGATGACTGATTGGACCCGTTGCATGTTGGCATTCCAGTCCGATGACTGATTGGGCCAAGGTATTCCAATTTGATGAGTGTGGGTCAATTATGCATGATAATATGTTTGTTGTATCGAGTATTTTGGGGGAAATTCACTAAACTTTGTGTTTACCCAGTTGTTTATGTTTTCAGGTTCTATCGTTGATCGTGGGAAGGCGAAGACATGACTTTACACACTCATCAATAGTATTGAGGATTCCGCGTTTCTTATATTACTCTGATTTTCGATAAATGTATTTTGGAATAAAAGCTTTTTCTTAATAATGAATTTATAATTAGAGAGTTTTGCCTTATTTAAAAATGAAAATCTTTGGTTGTGAAAATGAGACGATACACATAAACATCAACAACCCTACACTTCATCAATGATTATCCCACGTAAGATGTCGTGAGAAAAACCTAAAGAAATCATCCATAAGTACTGAATGAGTACAAAAACAAAAATGACTTATTTTGAAACAAAAAAATATTAAGAACTAAATGTGTACAAAAATATTAAGGACTAAATGTGTACAAAATAAGAAATATATTACCCTATTAAGACATTTTTCCCGTTAACCTGGAGTAACCGGTCATAAGAACTGAATGTGTACAGTTTAACAAGTTGAAGGGGTAAATGTGGACGAAAAAGAAATTCAGTGACCAAATATGTACAAATCAAAAAATATATTACCCTTTTAAGTCATTATCCCTACAAAGTATTCTACAAGTTACAAAATAAAAGAAATGAAAATGATATTTTATAAAGTTAGAAGTGGGTGAAGTCAAAGTAATATTATTTCGAAGTGGATACTGTTAAAATAATATTTTAATAAAATAGAAAGGTTTCGAAGTGGATGCTGTTAAAATAATATTTTAAAAAAATAGAAAGGTGAAAAATATTATTTTACAAATAATTTAAAAAGTAGAGAAGTAGAATTCATAAAATAATGGCAAATATCGTAGAAACATCTTTTAATAAACATCTAATATATGTTAATATATATTTTCAACAACTATATTTTTGTGATAGAAGTTTAGATATATTAGTTTTTTTAGAAGGAAATAATACAAGTTTAAATAAAAAAAAAAGAGAGAAAGAGAAATATGTCTAATCCCATTATCTGCTTTTCAAGAATTAAGAAAAATTTAATCAAAATTTCAAAATAGTTATTCTTTTCGCAGATATCATCTACGAAAAGGCCAAACTATTTGCGGAAACATCAAAACGACGTCGTCTTGTTAAGAACAGGTGACGAATGGTCTTGATGGGATGTGAAATGGGTGTGAGTGTGGTCCTCCTATTTAAGGTAAAAAAAACATTTTTTCATGTTTTACACTCTCATTTTGCATAATCTAAGAAATTCTTTATGAAGAAAATGGAACAGTACACAACAATCTACTTGATAGAATAAGTTTTTCTATCTCTTAAATGTGATTTTACGTTTTATGTAGGCTTGCTTACACTATTGGTTGAGTTATACGTGGAACATATAGATTTTCGCTCATAGATTTGAGATTCATCTACGGAAACAACCTTCATATTTGTTTTCCGTCTTTTTTACATATCATGTAGCTTTTTTATACGTCTTGGTTTGTATCACACTAACGAAAATGTGGTTTTTAGCAAACAAATATGACATTTTGGTAGATTCCATACGAGGAAATGGCATATTGGTCTTATAAAACCATATTTTTCATATATATATATATATATATATATATATATATATATATATATATATATATATATATATAGATGTCAAATGTGAAAATGTCTTATTTGTTTCAGAAAACCATATTTTCTTAGATCTATCCGACATTTTCGATGATGTCATATGCGAAAATGATAGTGTTCTATTTGAAAAAACAATATTTTCTTAGATACATCTCATATTTTCTGTAACGTTCCAAATTTTCAAATCAAAATTTCATTTTTAAATCAAAGGAAATCATACTATTTAACCATATAGAGTAAACATCCAATTGTTTTGATAACATAAATCAGAGTAATACAATCATAAGTGCGGAACATCTCAAAATCATAAAGCAGATTCGATGCAATCACGCCGCGCCATTATTTTAATTTGAATCCTATTTCTTTTGTTAAAATAAATATGAGTGACATATTTATTATTTCAGACAATATATACTTAATGAGTATTAACAAGCGGTGAATTTTATTTAAGATTATTCTATTAAAAAATAGTTATTAAAATATAGTTGTTATTTTGATAGTTGTTATAACGGTATGATAATTGTTTATCCTAATATTTAAGATTATTTGTTTAAAAAATAACAATAAAACCTCTTAAAGATGAATAAAAAAAAGTCAAACATATAAACTAATGATATAAACAAAAAACACATAAAAGACAACATTAGATAATTATATTTGATGTTTGATAGTTATCCGGGGTTATATTTTATTTTGTTTATTCGAACAAAACATAAAAATAAACGTTATATAATGTGAACGAATAAAACGTAAAAAAATAATATTAAATCGTATATTCGAATAAGACGTCAAAAATATTTAAAAAAATTTAAACCACAAATACAAAGATAAATAAATAAAGCTAAGAATAAATAATATATATATATATATATATATATATATATATATATATATATAATTTAGATAATTAATTAAAAAAAAATAAAAATAACTTAATAAGAAATCTATACAAATTCTATTAAAATAAAGAACAAATAAAATTGTTATATAATAATAATAATAATAATAATAATAATAATAATAAAATTGTTAAAAGAAAATGAAAAAGAAAAAGGAAGGGTAAGTTAGTCTTTTTATATGAAACAAGGACCAAAACTGCAATATTCATAAACCACAGAGATGCAACCTATCAATTTTTAAACTTAAGGACTAAAACTATGAATCTGACCAAAGCATAGGGACCATTTCTGTAATTTACTATAACATTTATATCATAAAATAATATAATAATTATTTATTACATAGAAAATAGAAAGTGGTTACTTTAAAATAAATACTTTGCACTAAATATATCAACACTTTATCACTTACTAGTTTTGTTGTTCTCTAAAAGCAATAATAAGAGCCATTGCTAATTTTAGTTGTTTATCAAGCTGCTCAACTCTTGCGTTGTGTTTGTCTTCTTGGGCCTTTATTATTTCCTTAAGCTCTTCATTTTGCTCTTTTTGTTTAGCAACAAGCCCCTCAATTCTTCTATTTCATATTTTTTTTTCCGGAATGTAAGATACATCAGTTTTACCGTTAATCATGGGAATCGCCTTTGCAAAAGAGCGTAATCCATACAGTCTTCTTTTTTTGTCGCGACCACCAACAACATTATAAAATATTATGTCTTCATCAAATTCAGCACCTTCAGCTTCCAACTCTTCCCGTTTTTCTGTATAGGCCGCCTACAAAATAATAATAATTTAAATTAAAAGATATCAAAGTCATGAATGACATGAATTACTAGCTACAATATAAAACTTTAATTGCTCTGAAATGAATATTACATGAATTCGTCTATTTTTTTTCATTTGTAAATGTGACCCCATCGTGATTCTTCGTGTGTGTATACAAGAACAATTTACTATGGGGTG